CCACTAGAGGGGAGTGTTTAACACAGAACAATCATTACCTTCTGTATGAACAACCACTGTACGTCCTTAAATGTATAAATTGATCGGTTTAAGTAATTGTCCAGATGGAAAGACAAACCGTTCACAAACTTTACTAGTTTAAAGAGTTAAGACAGGAGTAATACGCAGAGAATTGCTGAAGTATTACTCATTTACATAAGGGGCGACAAAACCATCCCAAATAATTCTAGACCATTGTGTTTGTCTTCTATTTATTTCAGTCTGAAGGGAGCGTCCCACACTGTCAGGCTGGAGGAACTGAGTCTCTTTAGTTTGAAGGGAGAGTCCTGCACTGACAAGCTTGAGGAACTGGGTCTCTTTAGTCTGAAGGAAGTGCCCCACACTGACAGGCCGGAGGAACTGAGTCTCTTCAGTCTGAAGAGAGTGTCCCACACTGACAGGCCGGAGAAACTGAGTCTCTTTAGTCCTGAACAGAGAAGACTATTAGGTGGAAAAACCAGAGGAAATAGGTGGAACAGAAGCGCTTTAAAACAGAGAACGTGAGGTACTTCTGTACACAGAGGGTAGTGGGAGTGGGGAACAAGCTGTCCAGCCCTGTGGTTGAAGCCGATACCCTGGCTTCTCTCTAGACACAGCTGGGTGAGCTCCTGGGATCAATTAACGACCAGATGGCCCGAATGACCTCCTCTCATTTATAAACTTTTTTATGTTATTGTGTATAATTCCTGCTTCATATACCGGTAAACAGTCTGTATGGAGTCCTCATAATTGCGATCTACACAGAAAACGCCCTTCTCTATGTCAAGATCACGACGACAGTGACACCTTCGTCAGTGTCCTGTAGGTCGACTATCAGAGGAACTGCAATAGTTCATTCGTTGTTAGACGTGTAATAGTTGGGCCTCCGACCAATGAGAATCGGGGTAAAGTTCAAAATAGGCTGAGAACTAGCAGGTCTTCTTTACAACAGCAGCGCAGAGGATGACATGGACGCAGCGCGGACCCTGCTCCTCTTCCTCTGTGAGTGACATGGTGGTGTTACCGGCTGAATCGCCAATATGTGGGAATTCTTTGACTTCGATAAAAACTAAACGCTCGGCGGACTTCGTACTGATCATGCTTATTGATAAATACAATTATTTAGAACTGGGGCACTTCTCAGTTAAGCGCGTTCTCCGAATATCAGATCGATTGCTGATATATTGATATCAATTACGCAAGTTAATAACATACTGTAGGTCCAATAGCCTCAGTTTGCAGTATGTAGTGTCTTTTTACATAATAGTTTTTAGTTTGATTGATGCCGCCTGTGCCTGTTGCTCACGATGATCTTTATTATTTTTGAAAACTTGAGGTTGAAATCAATCATTTCTGTCTCTTCTTCTGTGGGGTTTTTCCGAATGAGCGGTGTTGCACCCGCCAGCAGAAAGCGATTGAAATGAGCGACATTAGCGCGTCTTCCTTACGAAGTGGTCTCGCCAGTGTGATTACAGTTTTATTATCTGTGTCTTGCAGAAGACAAAAGATTTTTTTAAAAAATTAGGAGACGGGCAAAGGCTGGTTGTGTGCCGATCAAGGCCAAGGCCAGAGAAAACAATTCAGGTCTAGGAAAGAACAGCTCTGCTTTTGTAAACTTATCTCCCATCTGTATAATTAAGTTATTTATAATGATGATTTTGTTCATCTTTCCTTTACCGCTATTTTTATTTTCACTTGCCAAAGCGTTTTGATCTTTTTCGGATTTCTGTAATAACCAAGAACCAATTCGTTCCGAGCTTCTGAAA